ATAACGTAAGCTATTTTGTGAAATAGAAGAAATTCAATGAATCGTTATGAACATAGAAAAAATTTGCAATGAACGTCAGCGCGCGCTGTAATCATAATTTTGGCCCACCCTGTAGAGATTGTATGTTGAAAGCATAACCTTGGCATATGCGTTGGTCGACTTCTTCCGCATCCGTACCTTTGTCAACCTGTTGGGCGAACCGGCAGTCGTAAGTGTAGGGAATCCTCTCCCCATCCACAAGGGACTCCCATGTAGGAACTTCGAACAACTTCTCATGACCCATAGCAACAGTGAAAGGCAATTCTGGGCAGTTTTGGCTTGATGTAGTCAGCTCTTTGCGCAATTGTAACAACTGAGAACTCGTCCAAATACCCCTTCCAGGTCATTTCACATTGCACAACGCTTCATAAAACCCTTCAATCAACTCTTATCTGGTAGTTATGATCAGTAGAATGTCAACCAAGATGGCTACGCGAGTAGGAGGCGTTTTATCCCGAAGTACTAGATTAGTTTACGCCCACTTGTGCCATTTACGTACGCAGCTTGTTCATGAACTGCTCATTCTGCTCTTCCATCTCACCCTTTCTTATTGGGAAACTCGTCCTCAACATGGTTTTATGATTGTGTTCTCACCTTCCTATTCGACGCTCGAATGGTTTATACTTCAGATGAACAGATGAGTTCGGTGTTGATGCGCTGCGTTCGCTTCATTGTGGCGCTGGCGTGCGTCGCTGCTATCTTCGTCTATGGTACACCACAGGCGACGTTGACATCAGGAACAGACGACCTGATGACGACCATCTTACCACCACCGTCTGCTGAAAAATCGTCTTCATGGCTCCCTTTTTTTCCTACATGCAGGTGACTATTACAGCTCTCCTTATAAATTTTAAAAATCATCATAGTCTTTGGGATCTTCAGGGAGAACACAACTTCACGAGCTTCTTCTAGTTTTAGCCTCATGAGCGTTTGCGCACTGCTCAGCGATCTGTAGCTGATCACCCTACTATGTAGCCGTCCGGAAGTATTAGGCAGTCGACTGCTTCGGGGACAAAGCGACAGCCTCGCTTATACTCGTCACTGCCTCACTCCCTTCACTGCCCCGATCCTTCTCTGCCTTTGCTTAGAACGAAAAAGCTG